GCTCCTTTCCGCAGTGCGGCCTCGGGCCCACCGGCGGCTACGGCGCCTGGGGAAGGAGCCCCGGGGTTGAGCGCTCCTCAGGCCTGAGCCTCCCAGGAGGTCCTTGCAGAGGGCTTTGTGCTGCTTGGGAAGTCGGGGCAGCTCCAAAGGGCTGTGGGGCTACCAGGTTTAGGTGCCCCCTGGGCCTGTCAGGAGGAGGGGGACCTGAGCCCAGCTCAGTGTGACATGAAGGTAGCTGAGGGGATGAAGTGATTGCAAGGGGTCAGTTTGGGAAGTTTGCCCTGTAATGGAAAATAAAAACAGAAGCAGGGAGCAGCTCCATTCTTGCATGTTTTAAGCATCACTTAGATCAACCCCCAGCTGCAGAGTGCAAGCAAAGCAGGGAAAAAGGCAAGAACTTTTCCTTCCATTCATCTATTTTTTTTTTTTTTTTGACCATGCCTGCACCTCTGGGCTTACCCCCAAGGCATGAAATACCCGTGTGATTCTCCCCTGTGCCCATCAGTTACGCTGTCTTTCCTCCCTCGGGAGCTAGCTCTTAACCTCAGGGATGAAGCACAGACTCTGCTCCTGCTCTGCTTTCCTGTGTTTTAGAAATACGTGGAGAGCTGCTAGCGGTATTTCCTAGCTTGGCCCCTGTTTCCAGGCTGAGGGCCTGGCGTGGGCACCAGCCCCACCTGCCCTCTGCTCTGCCTGCCCCAGTGGGGCCCGCGCCGCCCGCCCCGCCCTCACCGCGTCGCGGCGACTCCTCCGCGCGGCCACGCGGCTCCTGGCGCCCATCGCAACCGGGGCGCCGGCGCTGGGCGTTTCTCTGCGCTCCCCTGTGGGCCTTCCCCTACCTTCATGGTCACTGTCCTCTGCTACAAGCCGCCTCTGAGGTGCCTTTGCCAGCTGCCACCTCCTCCTCACTTGCAACCTCCATGGGGCAGCAAGTGTCACCTCCGGGGATTGTGGACGGAGCTGCTCCCATCCTCCCGGAGCACCGTGTCATTGTGGAGGAAGGCTTTGGAGCCAATAAACAGCCTATGCTCATCTCGGTTTTCCAGCTCTGCCCCCCTGGGACTCTCCCTGGCACTCGATGCCAGCGTCGGCCCGGGAGCCCCAGACGCTGTTTTGCAACCCGCTCGTGTCGGCCAGCGGCTCCGCGCTCCTTGTGAGCGGCCCGACGGTAACGGGGAAGGAATGTTCCTGGGGCCCCGCGTCGAAACATCGTCGGGGCAAAGGGGACACTAATGGTTTGCAGACCGGCTGTGCCTGCCCTTTGCTAATGAGGCTAATGGGAAGCAGCAGAGAACCAAAAACATTTTGATTTACAGAGAGGAAAAAAAAAAAAAAAACACGGTTGGAGAGGTTACATATTTTCAGCAGGGCCCTGCAGATTCGACCGCATGGCTGCTCATGCCCAGGCAAAGTCCAGGAAGACGCGCGCGAGGGCTGCTCGTTTTGGGGTTTTTCTTAGCAGGAGGAGGTTTATTACCAGCCCTGCAGCCACAAGCATCAGCATCTTCCCCTTCTGTCCTGGGCCTGCCAGCAAACCTCCCCTCCGAAGGGCTCCAAACGAGATCCGTGACTTGTGGCCGCTGCGGGATTAGCAGCTACGTGAAGGGCTCAGCTCTGCGGCTCGGCCGTGACAGCTGGCGGTTTCCGATAACGCGGCACCTTCCTCTTCCATCCCGCAAACCTTGCAGCGCATTTTAACGCTGTTCAAACGCGGGTCTCGAGGCTGCTTTTGCTAAGCTGGAGCTTGCTACTAGTCCTTCATTTTGGGAGCCTGAGGCTGCTGGAGAAGTTGGTCACGCTTGTTTGGCAGGGGGGCGGAATTTATAGCTCAGACTTGCAGGCAGTTTTTTTTAAAGAATTCATGGTGTGTTTAAAAAACAAATTCAAGCCCTTCGCCTCTATGTTGCGTTTGCCTCTTCGATGGCTGAGCTCATGGAAAAACTGCAGCTTTGCTTCTGTGCTCCGCGCCAAGATTAGCGAGTTTGAAAACGACCCGATAACATCTTTGTGCACTTGGAGACGTTTCTCTAAAGCCTGCCGACCTCCTCCAGTCTGGATTTGGGAGCTCTCCTGAAGATCTAAGGGGCCCCGGGAGACCGTATCTGCCCTGAAAACCAGCTGCATCTACTGGCAGTGTTGCCTTCCCCCGAGGAGGAGGGAAGGGTGCTGGGCTGCCATCCCCGGGGCCCAGCAGGGTCTTTGGGATCCTCACGGAGCAGGAGCCACGGCCGGCTCTGCGGCGCTCCATCTCTGCGCTGCGCTCACCTTCCTTCGCGTCAACGCTAAAAAAACCTGAGCTGTTCCTTCCTGCCCTGAGACGTGACCCGACATCCTCTCGGGTTGATTTCTGATAGTGGATGATGAGTCATTAGAAGCAAAGGCTCGTGATTAAACTGGTTTGGGTGTCATTTAAGTGTCCACAATCTGTTCCAAGAGAGCGAGGCCCCGTGGCTTTAAAGGACCCAAGCAGCTACACAGCACGCAGCACTCTGGGCATAAGTTATAATAATCACTGGTTTTATTTTTTAAAAAATTACAATAGAAAAGTACCTTTAAACGTATTTCCAAAAGCGGAGTAGCCAATGTGGAAGCCTCTTTCCTCTCTTCTCCACAAAACAAAGTAAGTTTGGAAATAAGTTTGCTCAAGAAGTTAGTCCGTCACTTAGAAACGCTGGTATTATTCCTTTTAGATCCATTTGATCGTTTGTCCTGGAGTCGATTTGTTCTCAAATCACCTTTATTGATTCTACTTTTTCTTTAGGAAAACCCAAATGAGACCATTTCCTGTTCACCTGTGTTACCAGCCCGTCAAGGCTCGGGAGGTCGAAATTCTCAGTGGTTGTGTTTTGGCCTACCCGCAAAATAAAAAGGAAAACAGGGAAAAAAGAAAAACAGTTTGCGACGTTTAACGAAGCCTTGGACACCCTGTGTCTTTGGCACAGCCGTGAAGCCAACGAGGGGGAGACCCGGGCCCCGCTTTGAGCACTGAGCAGCAGCCAGGCTCAGTGCCCCCTGCAGCACCTCTTCCTGCAGGCAAGAGCTGGGATAAACAGCAACTAAAGGAGAAGACTTTTGCTCCTGCTTTTCAAGAAACTAAAGTCACTTTGGGCTTTTTGGGTTTTTTGAGTTATTATTTGAAATGCCTACCGGAACAAGAAGGATGAGGAACTGCACTGCTTGGAGCAGTCTCCCTGCTGGTATGCTGTCTCTGTAAACATTACAAGCACTGCTGCAGTGTGGCTGCAGGCCTCCCTTCTCGTCCTCGCTCACATGTGGAAACAGGAAAATGCTGGCACAACCTTCACCCTTAACCCCCAGCTCAGCAGGGTGCTTTGGCGTAACGGCAGGCACGCGCCGAAGTCCCTCCGCTCGCTCGGGACTTGTGTCCGACCTCCAGCAAGCTGGTGAGGCGCGAGGTTGGTTTTCCCATACAGCAGTTTACGTCGCCAATAACAACTTCACGCAGTCATGGCAGGGGAAGGAGGCAAATTCTCACCTTGCTACATGCGTGGGCTTTCTCTGCCCATCCCTGATCCGAGCGTTGCACCACGCCGAGGCTTTGCACGGTAAAAAAGGAAAAATCACCCTAGGAAGGCCGCCGATTGTCCTGCCTGGTGTCATTTGGTACCACTGGGAATAAACCTGCAACACTGCACGTGGATGCAGACGTGTTGCTGACGCAGCTGGAGCACCCTAATTCCTGGCAGGCTGGTGCCGGGGGGAGCGCGATTCCGGCTGCCTCGGCTTCGCACGCGGGTTGAGATCCTGCCTTTGACGTGCAGCTGGTGGGACGGCGCGAAGAGACACCCTTCAGTACACGCATTCGGAAGTCAAGCACAAAAACTGTGGTCCAACCCAGTGTAAGATTGTCCTATTTAAAAGGTTTGGTACAAAAATACTTGCTCTTGCGTTGCTTTTGTAGTCTGCTTTCCTATGGTTCTGTTTGAAAATACTTTTCAAACGCTACAGCAATGCCTGTCAAACCATGCTTTCAGAAGTAAACAAAAAAACTTTCTTACAAATATACAGTGTAAAAGAAGAAAATATTATTACTAAGTATGCTTTTCCTTTTCTTCTAGGAGAGCAGATGTGTGATAGAGGCTGTGGGAAAGTCTTGGAGGAATCCAAACTTGTGAGGGTTTTTTCAAGCCTGTAACGAGAGAGAGAAACAGGTTAAAAAGCAGCTGGGATGCTGGTCTGAGGCAAAGGTGAAAGGGGGCCCGTGGCTCACATCTGCCTGTGTGTTTAGGGCACTGCCCATTTGTCCTTCCAGCGTGTGGGGACCTCTGCGCCTTCCAGATTTCCTCTCTAAGACATAAACAGTCACTATGGACCTTGAATTCCCGCTGTGGAAAAGCACAGGCTTTTGCTGTCCCACTCAGGAGCCAGGCAGGCCCCTGGGCTTTTAGCTGAGGTGGTACCAGCTGGGAAGTTGCGAGTTAAATTTGACTTAAAGAGGAATTCAGCCTCAGTTGAGCCAAGGCAGGAAGCGAGAATGGCAGCAAGATGAGATTAGGGGCGGGTAATTTAAAGCTGAGAGACATTCCAGGGCTGTTGAAACTCTCCTCCAGATCCGAGTGATAACGGTAGGAAACCGGTGCTGCAGCTGGGGCCGTGGAAGCCACCGAGTGGGGCAGCTCCTGTGGGGAAGAGCCTCCTTCCGCCCCCTTGCTGCCCCCCCAGCTCCCTGCCCGGTCCTGCTCAGGTCCCGCCAGGTCCCAGGACAGTGTCCAGCCTCTTTAGGGACATCCCGCTTGCTTCCTCAGCCCACCCCAGAGGGGCTGCAAAGCCCCAGCCGTGTCCTGCTGCAGGGAAAGGCGAATAGAGCAGCCCCCTCCCCAACTGGGGGGTTTGTGGCGGCCTTACCAGCACACTGTGGTTTTGTGGAGAGCTCGAGAACCCAGTAGCCACCTTGGAAGACTCCGTTAATACCCACAAGACTGACTGTAGGCCACCATCACACACCTGAGACCTGCGGGAGGACACAGGAAGGGTTAGGGACACCCAGCCACGCAACGTGGGGCTGCAGCCCCAAGGGGAGGCTGGAGGAGCAAAGGTGGCAGCCAAACTCCTCCTGCCACCCTGCCACGCTGCAGGTTCCTGGCTGGAGGAGCCCAACAGGGATGTCCCTGGCTCCCTGCCCGAGCAGCGCGTGTCCCCACCGGAGCCACGGCCAGTGCGGGTGTCCCTGTGCCATGGCCGAGCAGCCCTGCGTTGCTCCCTGCAGGCTGAGGAGCCGCTCATCTCCCGCTCCCAAATACGGCTCTGCTTACGTTTGCGCTGGGAACACTGGCACACTCCGTGTTTTGGAAGAACCACCAGTCCCCAAACCTCGCTGCTTCCTATTTTTATCCACTGGGCCTAAAATAGCTGGTAAGCGATTCACAGATAGACGGATTTTGGGGCTGGTGCCCTTGCCAGGGGCAGCCGTCGTGCCCTCCCCATGGGCGCCCTCCTGGCTCCGGTGCCTGCAATAGTTGGGGCGCTCTGGGACCACAATGCGCAGGGTCCTCTGCATCAACCAAGCCAGTTCCCTCATCGCTTTTAATCCCTGTTTATTTATCTGCTGACGGGTGAGTTATTTGCAGAACTGATCTTTCTAAGTCCTCTCAAGACTTTTTCCACCCAAAGAGGTCCCATGTGCACCCAAATCAGCCCCCGGCCTCCTCGTGCAGCAGGCAGCCGGGTGCTTCGTGACGCCACACTTTTAATTTTGGCTATGCCAGGCTGCCGGGAGGCTTTTCCTTAAGCCACCTAGTACACCGTAATGGGGGCACATTTGGGGAAGCGCCGAGGATGCCATCGAAGCCCCAGTCCCGTTACCGACCTCAAGCCTGGCAGGGTCTCGCTCAAGCTCTCCCAGCTACCACCAGCCTCCTCTTGCGCTGAGACCCGCCGGGCACGAGGCTTTTGCCAAGAACCAGCCCTGAACGCGGGCGCCGACTTACACGGCATTCAGCAGAACTGACGGGACTTCCAGCCCTGAGAAGCAGCCTCGGAAGGAGGGAGCCAGCGCATCTGGAAAGGCAAGAGAGGCAGAGGTGAGAGCAGGCCCCCGGCGCCGCTCCAAACCCCGCGCTGAGAGGGCCGGGCGCTTCTGGGCTCCGATTTCCCGACCTCTCCCTGCTGCTCTCCCTCTTCCGTGACACAAGCTGGGGACAGGGGCATCGCTTCCAGCTCCGGTTTGCCCAGGCCGTTATCCCCAGCGCCCGGCTGCGTCCCCAGCACTGCAGCTCAGGCTCCCGACGACTCTTCCCATTGCTGCCAAGGACAGCGGCGCAGGCGGCGGGACCCAGAGGAGCCTGGAAGGTCACAGACAGGACCCAGCAGGGACAGCAACACCTTCTTCTACTGACACCTTGAGGCACTCACAGAACAGGGCGAACGGGCGCTCCTTGCCAAGAACTACCTCTCCACAAGCACAGCCCGGTGGCTGCCAAAAGGCTCCCGGAGGCGCCAGCAGCCCAAGGGCACCGCGAGCCGCCCGCAGCTCACTGGCTGACAAAGCCAGGCCGCAGCTCCCGCCTTTCCCGCTTTCCAGGGCAGCCCACGGAGGCACCTGCAGCCGCTTTCCTGCCCCTCGCTGCCCTCAGGGGCTGGCCATGCCGTGGCGACGGCTCCCGAGGCTGGGCCAGCTGCAGGGGCTCCGGCAGCACCGTGTGGCCCCGGGTCCGGCACGCAGCACCCAGGGCTTGCGGGGACGGTAACGTCCACAAAGGGACCCTGCGACCTCCCTCCCGCGGGGAAACAGCCCTGCTAGGGGCTCTGGACATCCCGGGAATTGCGAAGGGGCGAGGAAAGGCAATAGCTCGCCCGTACGGGAGGCACCGGTCCCCGCGCGGAGCTGCCCCTTGCTGCTCCCGCGGGAGCACACAGCCGTCCTGAAGGCCACGGGGAGCAGCCGCATGCGGCACGCGGCGGATCGGGGGGCCCCAGGCCCCCAGCTGCCCAAGAAATGGTGCAAGACGGGGAGGAGAAGAGGCGAGAGCGGAGGCCTGCATGGTGGCACGGTCCCTGCTGCCCCGTGCCACCCTTTCCACAGCTGCCCCATTGGGGCCGGGCTGGAGATGCTGCTGACCCAGAGTTGTCCCCTGCAGAGCCCAAACCAGTGAATTGCAGCAGTCTGGGGCTGCCCACCCTGTTCTGAAGCACCAGCAAAACGGCGTGGGACCACAAAGGTGCCAGAAGGACATTCCCACGTAACCTCCCCACCACCCACCACCACCTAATGGCAGTTACAGGATGCCCAGCAAAAGGGCAAGAGCCACCAGGCACAAACTGCAGGAGGAAAAGCTCCAAAGGGCCAGAAGGTCCTTCTGGAGAGCAGCAGGGCCTGGCGCCAGCGGGGAGGTGGTGACACCCGTGAGGACGTGGCCCTCAGCACCCTGATGGTGCTGCGGGGTTGCCCTCCATTCCCTCTCCGTCCGTGCAGGAGCAGCACGTGCCACAGTGTGGGTACAATAACAGCAGGCAGTATGTCTGCAAATGCCTCTTCTGGTTGGAGATTTGGGTGGTATCTTACACTGATCCAGAGCTGACCTTTCTCCAGACTTTGTGCCAACCACATGTGAGAAAAACAGGAATTGTGCCCAGAAGCGCTTTGAGAAAGCTCTGCAGCCCCTTGGGAATGAGCTGGCATCCAGCAGCAGCTTCCCAGGGCATTCCTTGCAGCGGGATGAGGGTGTTTGGCCAACACCCAAACACTTGGCGTGTTCCCTTGAAGGCCACCACAAGCCAGTGAGAGCCCTGGGTCTGCAGTTCTCCAGAAGGGCCCGTTTCCATCACAAACTGCAGCACTGGTGATGTTTCTGCACTGCTCCGCGCAGCCGGTGCGGATGCAGCGCGAGGCCGGCGGGAGGCCGGCTCCGTACAGCCCAAACCGGCGGGGTTTTGCCCCGGCCCCAACGCGGTGCTGCCACCGGATGCCGCGGGCCACGCTGCGGCACGGGGAGGGACATCGGCTGTCCCAACGGGAGACGAGGAGCTTGGACAGCCCACGGCACCTCTGCTCCATGGCTTAAGGGCAGCCACCAAGAGAGGACTTTCTGTATCAAAACAGCCCCCCAAAACACACCCCTCAAACCCGAACATGCCCTCAGCCGCAGACTGCTCAGCGGTGCCCCAGAGAAAGCCCTGGGCATGGGCACAGACACAAGCACAGGGCTGCTTCCTCCCGAGCCCGCACCAAAGCAATGGCCGGGACATTTCCTGCGCCTCCAAGCCAGCGCAGGTGCTGGCTGTTAACAGCTACTTGACAGGAAAAGAATGTATCTGCACTAATATTTACCATCGCTCTTCCTATAAACAGTAGGGCCTGAAAAGCTGGAGTTTGCTCCAAATGCTGAAGGCTGTTTCCAAGCCAAGCCGGTTCCTTCCCATTCCGGCCGCGGCGCTAGCAAGTCCCCCTCCCTCTGATCCCTGCCTGCGAGGAAAAGCTCATTTCTCCGGAGCTGGATGGACGCTGGTAGCCCAGGCTTCCTGCAGGCAGCTCCCAGGAACGGCCACGCTCCCGCGCCAGCAGGTTCGGAGGGCCCGGAGCACACGTGGACTTGTAGCTAAACCGGGAACGCCGCTGCTCTTGCTGACCTGCGTGGGGCCAAAAGCCTTGCGGATGCTCATCCAGCAGGGCTCTTTCCGTTCGCTCATTTCCTTCAGTTTGTGGCCAAACTGGAGCTGACCGAGAGGAGCAAAACTCGGGGTTTTTAGCAACATCCTGAGCACGGTCACCTCTCGGGCCTGGCTCTCCATGTGGCCACCTCAGCCGTGGAGACCACCTGAGATGGGAGCTGCAGGCTGGTGCTGCAAAGCCAGCTGGTCTCAGGATAGGACAGGCACAAATGGAGAAAATCATCCTCTGCATTTTACCAGCTCCTCTGGACAATATTTGCTAAGAGAACGCAAAAACACCGTGCAGTGCAGAGGCTTTTCTGGGGTGTCAGCAAGTCATGGCTTCATGTGGAGACGTCAGAGGCACCAGCTCTTCCTTCCCACTGCCCTTCCTATCTTTCTATCATCCTCTGAAAAGCCTTGAGCAGCTATATCAGAGTCTTGGGAGACAAAAAAACTCATTTCCTGTGCTTCAAAGTGAACAAAATGTGTCTCACGACAGACAGTGCGTGGGGTTGAGAGTAGGTCTGCAGCCCCCCATACCCATCAGGGTGAGAGGGACACAGACAGCTCTAGCCTGAGCGATTGCTTCAAGCAGCTGGGGTGGAATCCTCTCCAAGAAGCCCCAAGAGAAGTCACAGTTTGGCCCCCAGGATGAGGACAGAGTTAGAGGAGGCCCAACATGTTTTGCATGAGCCCTAACAACACGTAAGCTTAGGCGGAAGCCTTGAACTGGTTTTCTGCAAAAAACAAGGGGCAAAAAACCACTCATCTCTGTCACCCCCTATCCAGGGCACTGGCGCATGGCTTTTCTGCCAGGAATGAAACCCCCTGTTCTCAGGGAGGTCGGAAAAAAGCATACAGGAGCAAGTGCAAAAAGGACAGAGACGCGACCTGGCCACCACACGGACACAGCAAAGGCCACGCTGGGACGAGCTGACGGCACCTGCTCCTGCGCCATCCATAATTCTGCTTCATTTTCCAGCCTCCTTCTCTTTCCTCTTCTTTCTGGGTTGCCTGTTAATTTTTAACTGCTGTGCGCTGCTATCACGGGCCATTAGTGGCTTCGGCTAGCGGGGTGCACCGAGCAGAAAAGCGCTTGTGACAGCGAGCACATTAGTGGGGCTTTTGGCCCTCGCTTTGCGGGAGCTGCCGGGCTCGGCTCCGCTCCCTGCCTGCTCATCCACACGTCCTGAATAAAATATGGACCCTCCATTTGCGCCTCCTGCCTGTCAGAGCTGCTTTGCTTCAAGGCCCAAACTCCCTGCCCTCGTTGCAGCTCCCAAGCTCCCCGGCACTCTGCAGGGATAGTGACCAGCAGCACCTCTGCAGCCCTGGCTGGGAGGTGACACCGAGACCCCCTGGCGCCGGGCAGACGGTGACCCTCATCTCTGTACAGGCAGGAGGACACTCCACATCAATGCAGGAGGGTTCCCAGATCCAAGTGGTTCCTCAGGAGATCCTACAGCCCCTGGCTGTGCCGACCAGCAGCACGGCTGCAGGGCTATCCGTGTCCGCACGCAGCCACCCCACGTCCTGCTCCCTCTCAGCCAGGAGCGGAGCATCTGGCTCCCCAGACTCACCTCGCATGCACACATGGGTGTGCAACACAAATTCCCTTCCGGATAATTCAGCCCAAAGAGATGGCCCAGCCCTGGCCAGACACCACACGCAGAGAGGACGGGCAACTACCCTGCCCATGAGGCCTCCCTTAGCTGCCCGGTCTCTAGTGTGGACGAGAGTGAAGGTATTAAGGAAGAGAGAGGTGTCTGGGGAACGTCAGGCAGTGAGCTCTCGTCTCGTCCCACCAGTCCGTGTCAGCTTGATTTAGGTGACATCATTAATCTCTGGAAGGAGTGTCTGTTAGCTGGACAGAGGTTAGTCGTACGGTGAGCACTGAGGGGCAGGGCTAAGGGCAGGGAGGACGGGGCACGCGGTTGGAGAGGACGGTGGGAGGGTGAGCGAAGTCGTGGCTGATTGGTATCGATTACCTGGGCATGCAGTGAAGCGGGATACGTGAAAGCAGGAGGAGGTAGAGCAGGTGCTAACTCCGCTGGGTACAGAGGGTACGGCCCCCACACTTCAGGGCTACTGGGGTAAAGTGCAGGCACTGTGAGCTCATCTGCAAGAAAAGAATAAGGAGAGTTAACGGTTACCACGTAGCTGCGGCTCGCACAGCAAAACAAGAGATGCCGGCCTGCCCGCGGCTGCGCTCCCCGACCAGCTCCCGGGGGTCGTGGGGAAGGCACGGCAGAGCGGGGGCAAATCCCGCTGCGGAGGAGGGACGCAAGCCCAGGCCAGCTCCCGTGCTCACGCGCAGCTGGAGCAGCGGATACGGAGGTGACATCCAGGAGACCACCGCGCGCAGACGGCCCTGCCGGCAAGTCACGGCCTAGAAGACACGGGCTACATGGAGCCAAAGCCGGGGCAGGAGCGGAAGGCCGGGAGCCTCCAAGCCCTTTCTGCACAGGATGGAAACCGTCGCTCCCCGCGGCGCTGGCCGGCGGCGGCAGCACCACCGGGACAGGCCGGCAGCGACCGCAGGAGTTCGCAGGACCCCTAAGCTCCTTCTTCCTCCTGGTTAGGAGCTGTCAGTTTATCGATCCCGGCTTCTTCTAAACAGCCTCCATGGGACACCAGCCTCAAGTGATTTAATAACATCCTAAATCCTTTGTTTTCCCTGCAAAGCAGTAGGGAAGTGGAGATCAGGCACAAGCTCCTGCCTAAATTGTGCAATTTATGAGTCCCAGGGCTTGCATTACTGCCACAGGCTGCTCTTTCCCGAGGCTTGTTCCCAGCTAATGCTTAGGACCTGATTCATTCATGAGCCTCTCCATAAAAAGCAGCATGTTTGGTGTCGCTGTCAGCAGCAGCTAATGAGAAATAGCACGAGCAGACGGACTGACTCAGAACACAATGCTGTTATTTAACTCCCCTGCTTGGAAAACATAAGAGCTCGGTTTTTCTTCAACTTTTCAGCCTTTAACAAGATGTATCGTGAGGCTAGGTACGCTTCCTTCCCGTTTCCAGGGAGGCCAGATTGGATTCTTCGGCTCCAGGAGATTTAATTATATTTGGGAATCCGATGTCAGCTAGTTTGCAGGAGAGTTTATGACCTACAAATACACCCACGCATAAATAAGCTTGTGCAACAGAGAGGCAAGGAGCTAGGGCTTCTGTTTCTCATCCAGCCACGAAAGTGAACACGGAAGCAGTGCTCCGAAGGCAGCGGGAGAACGGCCTCCCAACAGCGAGGCCGGTTGCTGACTGTTCCAGGTGAAACATCCGCGACTCCAAAGTTTCCGCAAGTCCCCAGCGCGGAGCCCCGGGAGCCACCAGCAGCCACCGCTGTCCCCTGCGCCGCTGCCACCGCCGCCGAGGCTGCGCTTCAGTGACACAGGGGATCACAAGTTTACACTGTTGGCTTGAAAGGAGGATGAACGGCAAAAAAAACTTGGCAAGGCCCAGCATAAACAAGCGTCCCTACCACAGCTCATTCCTGAGGGATCATCGGGATCATCTCTCTGAGCGGGAGCAGCAGGCCCTGGCTGTGGGGCGGCTTGGCGCAGTGCTGAAGAAACCCTTCCCCAAGGAAGGTGGTTGCAGCGTGAGGGACAAAGCAAAGGTTTTGGCAGCCCGGACAGGAGGCCGTTTGGCTCCCCTCAGCTCTTCCCTGCTACAACCATCCCTCAAACTACAGGTGTGCGGGAGAGCTTGGCCTGTCCCAAGGTGTTGACTCCGGCACAGCTGGGGCTAGGAACCGTGTCAGCATCCGTCAGGAACCCGCACCGCCACAGGAAG